TTCTCCATTAAAATAAAAATATTAACAATTCTGAAAAAATCTTAAAATACATTTTGAGTTGTTTTTTACAATTTTGATGAGGAAGGCTAAACCATGCTTGTCTTTTTGTTTTAGAATACCGCAATTTTGTTCCATCTGTCACATAAACCTGCATGGAGCTTGTTATTTCACGTCATCCCACGTGACCAAAAGAAATTATCTCTTAAACACCGTCCCTTGATTGGCTACTGCCGTAACTGACTGCTTGTTCTGCTCTGATTCGCTCCTTATTTTTAGCCCAATATTTATATTTAACTGGGGCAGAATACTTAGGCTAAATACACTGCATAGAATTGAGCCAATGTTTCATAGTTCCAGTATCTGATAATATGCGTAGTAATTGATGGTCGAATAAATTTTGCCTTGTGTCTTTTCCCCCTTTCTTTTCGTTTGACTTTGTCGATGAAGCTGCCCTCCCTCGAAATGAGAAAAAAGTGCCACCAGGGGCGTGCCACCTCGCCCCCCCCCCTTTTTCCTATGCCACTCCTTATGAATTAACAATCAAATTCAAGCGAATAAATTGTATTAATATGTAATTTTATGATAGATTTATGTTAGCTAACAAAATGGAGGACATAATGTAGAATTATTATAGAAATAAATCAACAGATGCCCGCCCGCACGAATCAACCGTTTAAAGGAATGACATAAATTATAAATTAGTTCAAAATCCTAATCTCTCTCTGCCTCTCTCCCCACTCTCTCTGTCTGTCTCCCTCTCTCTCCCTGCCTATGTCTCTCTCTGTCTCCCTCTCTCTCTCCCTGCCTATGTCTCCCTCTCTCTGTGTCTCTATCCTCCCCCTTTCTTTCTCACTCTGGCTCTGTCTCGCTCTCTCTCCCTTTCTCTCTCAATCTCTCTCCCTTTCAATTCACTAATTGTTGACTAGAGTAACTTGGCGAATCCAGAGAAATGTAAACAAGAGGTGAGAGAAAGTTGTCTCTATCACATCACAAAGAAAAAACAAAAAAACATTATTTATGAAAATATATTATACTTTCCTGCCCTAAGTTAATTATTTTCACAAATACCAGAACCAGAGCCAGAGAGAGAGGTCACAACTTACGTCCTACAACCAGCAATGGCGTAAAGACGTGGTGCCAAGGGGGCTTCTTTCCAAAAGGCGGCACTTGTCTTTAGTTTAGGGCGAAATTTTCGGCCAACTAGAATAATCGCAGCTAGGTTCTTTGCCGTCAGGGGCGGACCACGTTTGTGTCGCCCCTTCCACGAAAAAACTCTGTAGTTGGCTAAAATGCCGCCCATGGGTGGAAACACAACCCCCCCCCCCCTTAACCCCGCTTCCGCACCCAACCCAACGTCACTGACCCAAAGAGTTATTTTTCTTTTTTTTTGTGAAAGAGGACGGCAAACACCTTGGCCCGCCCCTGATGACAACGCCACTGGCAGTTTTTTTTTCACTATAACATAAATAAATTAGTTTTAAAGGAAAGACAAATTTGTTACTGAATATTGGAGACAATGCAGGGGAAACAAATAGCATAATTATGTGGCTGAAACACACGTTGAGTTATCTCTCTTTTATTGCCGATCAGCCTAATAAGCTCTTCAAATAATTCAGATTCAGAAAGACGAAAATCAGGTGCTGATTTTGACTAACAAGATACCAATTTTTAAAATCATGATTTTAAAATTAACAGTTAATACGTGCAGTAGTTACTTACACCATGCATCAGCCATGCTGCACACTTAAATGGGGTTTGCTAAATTCCATGAATGTCCCCTACAAAAATAGATGTCTGCCTTTGCCATGGTTTCCGTAACCATGATTTAATGGGATGGTTTGTGTAGTTATGATTTAATGGGATGGTCTGTGTCGCTATAATTTAATAGGATGGTTTGTGTAACTATGATTTAATGGGATGGTTTGTGTAGCTATGATTTAATGGGATGGTTTGTGTAGCTATGATTTAATGGGATGGTTTGTGCAGCTATGATTTACTGTGATGTTTTGTGTAGCTATGAATTAATGGAATGGTTTGTGTAGCTATGATTTAATGTGATGGTTTGTGTAGCTATGATTTAATGGGATGGTTTGTGTAGCTATGATTTAATGAGATGGTTTGTGTAGCTATGATTTAATGGGATGGTTTGTGTAGCTATGAATTAATGGGATGGTTTGTGTAGCTATGATTTAATGGGATGGTTTGTGTAGCTATGAATTAATGGGATGGTTTCCGTAACCATGATTTAATGGGATGGTTTGTGTAGCTATGATTTAATGAGATGGTTTGTGTAGCTATGAATTAATGGGATGGTTTGTGTAGCTATGATTTAATGGGATGGTTTGTGTAGCTATGATTTAATGGGATGGTTTGTGTAGCTATGATTTAATGGGATGGTTTGTGTAGCTATGATTTAATGGGATGGTTTGTGTAGCTATGATTTAATGAGATGGTTTGTGTAGCTATGATTTAATGGGATGGTTTGTGTAGCTATGATTTGTTTATTCTTTCAACCAGTTAAATAATGGTTAAAATAATTTCATTATATATACAATTATTAATAATTTGACTTTTTAATCATTTAAATTAAATTTATGTTTTCGTACAGTCTATTTGCAAGGTATGTTTATATTAAGTTTCCCATTGAAAGGACCGGTGGACAAGTTTCCCATTGCAAGGACCGGTGGACAAGTTTCCCATTGCAAGGACCGGTGGACAAGTTTCCCATTGCAAGGACCGGTGGACAAGTTTCCCATTGCAAGGACCGGTGGACAAGTTTCCCATTGCAAGGACCGGCGGACAAGTTTCCCATTGCAAGGACCGGTAGACAAGTTTCCCATTGCAAGGACCGGTGCCAGATGAATTCATTTTTGTATAGTTACCGGGTAACTTAAATTTGCCATTTTTTTTTAAACTCTGTGTTCGATTGGATGCTATTAATGATATTTTTTATAGCAGTAAAAGTTTTTTTTTTTTTAAGTTGCTTTGTCGGTTTCTTCTGCGGACAGTCAACCTTGGACCTAGTTTCCCATTGCAAGGACCGGTGCCAGTTGAATTCATTTTTGTATAGTTCCCGGGTAACTTAAATTTGCCATTTTTTTTTTAAACTCTGTGTTCGATTGGATGCTATTAATGATATTTTTTATAGCAGTAAAAGTTTTTTTTTTTTTAAGTTGCTTTGTCGGTTTCTTCTGCGGACAGTCAACCTTGGACCACTCTGCAAAATACTGGTTTAGATTTTAAAATAAATAGATAAACCTTTATTTAATGTATACTTCTTGTAAAAAAAAAAAAGAAAAAAGTTCCAATTTTGTAGCTTGGTGATAGGAAATGATCATGAATTCACCCGTTAACACTGAATTTTAAGAAAAAAATAGTCATGCGTAACTTCACAGGTTTCTGTTGAGGCCAAAATCGTCGATGGGCTAATTGACCCACTTCCTGTCATCCCATCGAGCGGAAACTTGGCACACAGCCTCGTTGCAGATGACAACACATTCTAATTCTATCAAATTGTAATTCTTACAAATACATATTAGTTTTTCCTGTTTTTCAAGGATTTGTTCAACGGTTGTGTGTTTTGGTGTGGAGATGAATTTTGTAGCTGTTGCAATGTGCTTTGTGGCGTATTTGGGTGTGCCGTAAAAAAATATAATATTATTTGGAAGGGGAAAAGGAAGGAAATATGAAATGTGTTTTCGACAGAAGTTTACCCATTTACAAACCCGCTTCCTAAAAAAATGATAAACCACGTCCACATACAATGACATAAATGCCAACAGAAATGACATGCGAATAAAGGATTTATACATACAATTTTGTTTTTAGGTGTTGTTTATTTTTTTGTCTAAATTACGTTCGGGAGTATAATTGAACGTGTCTCCTATAAAAACTGTAATAATAATTATGTATTGATAAGTTACCGTACACCCTATGTTCACATTTTAGTACTAGCCGTACAAAATATCAGTAGGTTGATAACACTATCGCTACACTTAGATTATTAATGTAAGTTATAACCCCAGCATTATTTAAACTTGCAAAATACCGTAGGTCAATCATTTCCTTGATACGGTACCCGATAAAAAAAAAATAATAATAATTTTTGTATGATGACTGAATACCTTCATAGCGATTGTGTCCATGCTATTTTGGCATGCTCACAGCGCCCCCATGTCCTCAAATCTATTTAAAGAAAAAAAAGTATTTAATTTAAATGGTTCTTAAAAGTAGGCCTACATTCCTAAAACACTGCCAGACAATGACATGCACTGACGGGAACATTTATAAATAAATATAGCACACCGTCATCTCTGTAACTATTACAATATATTACAACCTACACAATAGAACATCTAGCCATATAACCACACGCCGTCATCTCTGTAACTATTACAATATATTACAACCTACAAAATAGAACATCTAGCCATATAACCACACGCCGTCATCTCTGTAACTATTACAATATATTACAACCTACACAATAGAACATCTAGCCATATAACCACACGCCGTCATCTCTGTAACTATTACAATATATTACAACCTACACAATAGAACATCTAGCCATATAACCACACGCCGTCATCTCTGTAACTATTACAATATATTACAACCTACACAATAGAACATCTAGCCATATAACCAC